CACGTGCACACCGACTCCCTCTCTCTCTCTCTTTCTCTCTCTCTTTCTCTCTCTCTTTCTCTCTCTCTTTCTCTCTCTCTCTCCAAAAACCTCCCACACACAGCAAAGAAATACTCCTACGCTTCTCCTCCGATCAAAACTCCCAACAGAGCTGAGGGACCTGGCGTTAAACCCAAGCCAAACACAGCCCTAGCCAGCCCCACCGACCAAAAACCCACACATTGTTTAACAATGGCTGTTTGTCTTTCCGCACGGCGACTGATGGAAAGCTGTTGAGTCAATTTACAGTAAACTTAAGCGGCCTGTTCTTGGAAATATCCGTTTCCAAAATGTCATCCCTTCAAGCATTGTCATTGTGAGTCCTTTTCAACTGCTAGACTGCTTTCCATAGATACACGCTGTTTTACAGGGGATGGACACACACACGTTTCACAATGTGCATTAATTAATGTAGATCTATGTCCGTTTTACAATGCATGGATACATTACGTCCATTTGTCAAGGCATGGAAACATATAGTCAATTTCAGTGGGTGGTAGGCGGGTGCTCTGGTGTGGTTTGCTCCTTCTTTCCTATCAAACATATATCGTCAGTATCTCCCCTCCTTCTTTTTTATGTTTGTTACTCTCTTGCAACACCTCTAATCTTCTGGTGCTCATATGACCTTGTGCAGTTGCGAGCGCCGTAAAACCTCTACTAAAACAAACAAAAGTTAATTTTACAATGCATGGACACATGTCTGTTTTACAATGCATGGACACATGTCTGTTTTACAATGCATGGACACATGTCTGTTTTACAGTGCATGGACACATGTCTGTTTTACAGTGCATGGACACATGTCTGTTTTACAGTGCATGGACACATGTCTGTTTTACAGTGCATGGATACATGCTCATACATGTCTGTTTAACAGTGCATGGGTACATCATGTCCATTTTAGACACTCTCCTGCACGCTTCATTCACTGTTTTTGTTTCGTTTTCTTTAGTTTTTCTCACCTGCCTTTACTCCGCGTCTCAGCCTTAACCCTATCCGTACGTCATGTTTTACTATCGTATCCATACGACGTGGGGAACTCTGTGCCACCACTTTCCACAGAGGAAATTTACTCGTTAATCCGATCCCCGTACGCTTTGCATAGAAGTCTGTCAAAATGATTTTTGGAGAAACACTGAAAGTTTGAAAGAGATCTTCGTCCTAGAAGTATTCTAAATTGTGAAGAATGCAACCCTGGGGAACAAAAGGACCTCAGGGCGTACGCATAAAATGTTCACGTAATCAAAACCAGGGTCTGTGGTGAGGCAATAATTAGGAGGCGCTTCGCCGCTCTCGCATACAGGAGACGTGAGTTCGATTTCCGCGAGAGGGAGAATAATATTTATTTTTAACAAGGTTTTCGGATTTTTGTTGTTGTCGGTGGGATATTTTATCCCTCTTAGCCTGGGCTGGGCCTGAAAGGGAGGGTCGAAAGTATGTCTCCTATAATGCGGTCTAAGTTGTGCAAATGGGAAGGAGGGGTAAAAACACGTACATTAAAAAAAAACTTAATGAGATACCACAAAAATTCTGGTCATAAGATATGCCGTCCTGTAAGAGGTCTTTAATATGTTACTGAGC